GGAAAAATACATTTCGTCTCCTTGGGTTTATCAGTGTGTGTGTGTGTGTGTGTGTTTGTGAGCAAATGAAACTCCCTTTTAAATATTATTGAAAAGTTAAGATGATGAGGAATATTTTGAATAACTGTATACTATATACAGTTACCTAGAACATGTACAGATGGTTATAAACAATCGTACGGGCTTTGAGAATAGGTAACAATGAAACTGCCAGATAATCAAATATGTGTTGTTCTGTAAAATGCTTTATACCATAAACAAAAAAAAATAAAAACACAAAACACTAAAAAAATCTTACTAAAGACAATTAATATTAAAACAACCCTCTTTTCAAAACAGTAGATACAGTCTCACCTGTAGTGATATAGTTTTACATTCACTGAACTTTTGACGATTTCTATTTCTTTTCATACATCATGTCACTTTTCTCACATGCTTTCTGTGTGATAAAAACATTCTGCAAATTAAGTAAAGATTTCATCTGAGGCTCTTCTACTCTCACTTTTTAAGCCTTTTCACATTGAAGAGAAATCTACAGTATTCTGCTCATTTACTGTGTAAATATTTAGAGTTACATTTGACTCCATAATCAGTAGAGTCACATGTAAAGGGATAATGCCATGGACATGAGCTGTATGAGATAAAGGGAAGCAGGGAGAATAAGAAAGCTGTGAGACATTCTGTAGGGGTAAATAAATATTAAAATGTTGTACCCTTAAGTGTTAATCATTTGAATAAATAGTGAAACATTTACATTTTCTCATTTGGCAGACACTTTTATCCAAAGTGACTTACATTTGAGGAACAACGGGCATCAAAAAAAATACACCCTCATTTTTAAATTAAACATTTCTGTTCTGAAAAAGTGAACTCCAATGTAACTGTTAATCTAATTAATTAATTAATCAAATCATTATTTTTTACTTTTACATATAATTTTGAACTTTTACGTCAGTGTATCAGAAAGTCCAGCAGGGGGCAGCACATCTCCAACAGGAGCTTCAGCTGACAGGGACGAAGAAGAAGAAGGGGCGGTCTTGTTTTTGTCAGTCGTCGAGCGCAGCACCTCTGCTGTGAAAATGCGTATCGAAAAGTGTTATTTCTGCTCGGGGCCAGTGTACCCTGGACATGGAGCGATGTTTGTACGCAACGACTGTAAGGTATGACACTGTCTTTTTGCCTGAACAATCCTGTAACTTGAACAACTGCTCGTGTTTGGCTGTCAATGTTGGCACGTTAGCAAGCTGGCTAATGTTAGCTTGCTAACATAACGTGTTGTATTCACTCACGTGGGATGAAGACAGGGTTTTGGATTTTTAATAGCTGGCAGACTGTAAAAAAAACCCTCAAACGTGTGAATTCTGTAGTTCACTGATCCACGACTTGAAATTGAAGCAGGTAACGTTAACGTTGATTTTATAATTTGTGAAGTGAAATCCAAGCTACCGTTGATGAGAATCAAATTGATGAAAAGCCCCGACATTTAACTGGCAGGGCCTCAGTGTCGGGTTGTGGAGTAAATGCGCCCTCTGAAGGTGTGCTGTGAAAACAGCACTGCGGGCAAATCATAAACAGTCCCACAGTCTTGCTTCTGAAAACCATAACATCTCTGTGGCGCTTCTAATATTGACTGTCTCGGCGACCTTTTTCAACTTTAAAAGGGTTATTCAAGGGATAATTTTATTTGTATGTATTTATTTTAATCCTTTTTTTTACATTGTGATGTTATGATACTTAGTAGTACATGACATTTTAGTTAGTAATGTTGCTAATAACCTAAACTTATGTTTACTTTTTATGAATTTTATTACAGAATTGTAAACATTTTTTTTCTTGCATTCATAATTATGTTTACGCTGGAAACCCATAGTGTAAACCATGTACAACTTTGAAGATACTGTATTTAACGCAGTGTCGGCATACTAATAAAGCATATTTGAATTCGGAAAAATTTGTATGTCGATTAAAAAAGGAGCTGTGTATAAATATAGCTGTTTATAAACCTTTGTATTATATAGGTTTTTGAGGCTCATACTGATTTAGAGTTGTTTATTTTACAAATCTGATGCAATAAATGGTCTTTTACAAAAAGACATAATTTTTTTTAAAACAATCCCTTAAACTTTGTTACTGAACAACTCTGACCAAGATGTACTGAGGCATTTTACAGTAGAAATATAAACATGCTCGGTCTGTCTGTTCTCTCTGATGGAAAGACTATTAAATGGAAACAGACTGTTTTGTAAACTACCTCTGACACACCTTGGACATTTCTACAGATGCAGTTTGTTGTTATGTACTGGACCACATGAATGCCTATACCAGCGTATCTGTGGTAATCTTTGATTGGTTGAGATACTGGCCGTTATAAATAATTATGTATAAAGATGGAGAGCTTGTAACATTTAACCCTAAATATTAAACTTTTGCACCTTAACTCTGTAGAACTTTGCAATTACAAAATTCCAAATACATTTTGTCTTCCTGCCAAGAAAACTGCTTTACAGGTCTGCATTGTTTTTCTTCTTGAGTTAAACCCTAAATTATTTGTTTTTCTGTCTTTCTTTTTAAATAAATGCAGACTTTCAGATTCTGCAGATCAAAATGCATCAAGAACTTCAAGAAGAAGCGTAACCCAAGAAAGACAAGATGGACCAAAGCATTCAGAAAGGCATCAGGAAAGGAGTTGACAGTGGTGAGAGTATATAAAATGCTATCACATTATCAATAATTTGTTTTACTGTTGCCGATCTAACAAACATCCTCTCTTTCAGGATAATGCTTTGGAGTTCGAGAAACGCAGAAATATACCTGTTAAATATAACAGGGAGCTGTGGGACAAGACAGGTAATGTATACATTTATTTCTCACATGTACATGCTGTGAAAATGTGCAGTCATTTGATTTTTGAACTGGCAAAAAAAAATGTTACTTCAAATTTCTACAGTGGAGGCAATGAAGCGGGTGGAGGAAATAAAACTGAAACGACAGGCAAGATTTATCATGAACAGGTGAGCGATCATTCTTGGGCATATCGTTTACAGCTGTCATCTAATGTTTTTATATAACATGGTATTGACAGGATTAAGAAATCTGTGTTTTTTACTCACCTTTATGTTTTTTGTCTCCAATTTATAGATTAAAGAAGGGCAAACAGTTGGAGAAAGAAGAGGCCATCACCGAAGTGAAGAAAAATATTCACCTTATCAAAGCACCACATGCAGGTAAGCATTATTTGCGTCTCCAAATAGCCAAGTTATACAAGAATTGTGAAATAATGTGCAAGGAATTTTAATTGTTGACATATTTTAATCCATGAAAGAGGTACAGACCAGTGTGACAACAGGCTTACTGTTCAGAAGAAGACAATGCACCTTCATACACTGAACATACTATAAACAATGTACACATAATAATGAAAATAAGATTAGTTTTGTGCCTCTCACTAGAGATGGGCAGCAATTTGAATGAAACTTCTATTTTTATGTATTTTTTTTTATTAAGAAGAAAATCCAGTTGCTGACGGAATAAATATAATACTGCATAAAGAATGTCCTTAACATTAGTCTGTAATATCAGTGTTGTTCACATTTTGCCTTTGTTTGATTTTTACAGGAAAGGCCAAACAAATGGAAGAAAAAATGGTGCAGAAGTTACAAGAGGATGTGGACATGGGGGATGAAGATAATTAATCTTGTACCTCCGGGGGTTTGTTTGTGCAATGAAACTCGAGAGCAAGTTGACCTTGACTTATATAGTACTTCTGTTTTAGAATTAAAATTTCTAAATGGCTGATGATGGACACAGTAATGCATTCAGTTTTAAATTGCTCTGCAAGGACTGAAAGCATTGACCAAACAAAGATCTGCCTCCAAAGCTGCAGCAGTTTACCACACGTGTCCCAGATATTTTCTTGCATGTTATTTCGGACTGTTAAGATTCACTCTATCCTTTTGCATAGTTTAATGTATAACCGTAATGCAGAAAATGATAAAAGGTTACCAACAAAAAATTAATAAACATCTTTTGGGTAATTTTCTTATTTTGTTTCTTATTTTCTGTAACATTAATCCCACTACAACGTTTGCTAAATTAAAAGCAAAGATGCTAACCATAAGCCATTTTACTTTTGTTATATGTGGATTTTTGCTGAAAACCCTTTGCAGTGGGCATTGTTAGTATGAAGAACATTATTGAGGAAGAGATGGTTAGCTGCACTCCACACAAATATATATATATATATATATATATATATATATATATATATATATATATATATATATATATATATATATATATATATAATTAGTATGATGTAAGCACCTCATGTAGCATAAGCCATGTTCATTTCTACAACTGTCACTCATTCAACCAAAAATACTCTATAACAGACAACATTTAAGCCACAAAATGAATATACATTTAAAAGTTTATCAAACCATTTTACTTCCCTTTCTATAGAGAGAAATGTGGCTTAAGATGATTTGACTAGTGTGAAAAGATGGTTTGACTGGCCTTTACCACCTATAACAACATAAACTTGAGAGCTGTTATACAAGACTACAATTAATGCTATGAAAAATAATAAATATCTCCCAGGCCCAAAGAAGTACATCTAAAAAATATTCAGAAGAATCTGTTAACAATTTAGACTATACTGAAGAGTTTTACTGACTCAATGCGTGTATGGAAAGTATTAACTGTTAATTTCTCTATGCGAAGTGTTCATATTGGAAGACACTCGATTTTATAATTCCAACATATTAAAGATGTTATGCAGATGGAGATTTTGTGTTCGTGCACTTTCAAAGAATAAAGACGTGAATTAATAACTGAGCATATTCATATATTATCCAAATATACATTATAGAAGTACATTTATCAAAGCTTGACATAATATTTTTGATCCCAGTAGACAGTATATAAAGATAAATACAGTTCATTGTCCCAGTCTCTGTCACATCGGCATCTCTGGGATCGATTCACCGGCCTGTTGCTGGACAGGTTGTGCGTGACAGGCTGCTGCCCTCGCCCGCCTAGTCGCTGCCAGTACCACCTTTTCATGTTCTAGTGGAGCTGGTTGAACGGTCACATCCACAGCTTTGTGAGCAGAACAGGGATTCAATACACACAACTATGTCCGAGGAGGCTGACGGAACAAGGACTTCAGAGGAACAGCAGGTAAATTGTAGCGACGAACTGCAAATTTCAGTAGTTAGCCAGTGCTGCTAGCACGTCGAATCTGTTAAATTAGCAGGTAGCTAGTTAGCCTATAGCAATGCTATGATGCTACCGCCAAGTAATTAGCTACCAGCGTTTGTTGGTAAAAAAAAAAAAAAGGAAGAAAAAAACCCTGTTGTTTGGGGACCAAAGATTATGTTTCCACATCCCTTGTAAATTGATTGATAGCTTAACGTTAGCTATCATGCTAAGTTAAATGCAACATTTATGCTAGTGCAAACATCAGTTGGAGTTTCCTCATGGCGGCGTCTGCAAATTACGAAACAAATGGTATCCATACTAATGTTAGCTGTCACTACTGCTGTAGTCAGATTAAATATTGCTGTTTCATGCTAATGTCATGCAATTTTAACAAATTCCAGTTTTTCTCCCTCAAGTCAGCTGGGTGCATTTATCTTCCATACACTCGGTGCTCTTTCAACAGGAAATGGAGGACAAAGTAGTCAGTCCAGAGAAAGCAGAGGAGGCCAAACTGAAGGCCAGGTATCCTAATCTTGGAGCGAAACCTGGAGGCTCAGACCTACTCAGGAAAAGACTTCAGAAGGGGGTGCGTTTCATATCTAAACTTGGCTAGGTATTCATTTTGTACAGAATGTGTTTTACAATATTCTCACTTTACACTTTTTTTTGTTTGTCCAGCCCAAGTATTTTGATTCTGGTGACTACAACATGGCTAAGGCAAAAATGAAGAACAAACAGTTGCTATCAGCCCCAACAGAGAAGACTGAAATCACAGGGGGGCACATCCCGACACCACAGGACCTGCCTCAAAGAAAAACTTCAATTGTGGCCAGCAAGCTGGCAGGTTGATGGTTTTATGTTTTGTTACCATTCCAACTCCCACTGCATATCTACCTGCTGTTTAATTTTTTTTGTTGATTTCTCACCTTCATATGTATTATCTAAGAACAAGTTATGTACCAAGCCAAATTCTTGAGGGGGGAAAAAAAACAGACACTGAATTGGCAGTGACTTGAATACAAAAAAGTAGTAGCTGAAAATGTTTCTCAAGATCTTAAAAAAAGACTGAATAGTATCGATTTATGAACATGATATCACACTCCTTAATATGAATGGATGTTTGTGCTATCTTATTTTCACTTTTAAGGATATATGCCTCCACGCTGATTAAACAGTAGCTGAAGAGCCTTCACAGAGGATCTGTTTTCATCACCACAAATTAATGTTGTTCTATGTTACTATGTCAATAACAAAAACACTTACAAAATACTTACAAGTTATGACTACAGACAGAAGATATTATCGGTTTGCATTGATGTATGTGTAAAGTAAAGAGGACTCACCTGCTCATATGGAGGCATGTCTCTTTAAATAGTGAAAAGTGAAGTAATCCTGCTTTGTTTTTTTCTAATTGTGTCCCTTCCTCTCTCTGTAAAGCTGTTTGATTCTGTGCTTTCATAGTACTGAAGATTAGATCACACACACTTTGTAGCCACTTGTATTTTACTTCATGTTAGTGACATTGGTTCGCAAAGACTTGCTGCTCGTCTCCATCTCATCCTGACCTCTAAAATGGCCTTAAAAGTAACAAACTGTTGTTTCTCTTGAGCAATATTTGCTCCCTCGGTGAGAATCTTAGTTGTGAATTTTGCCTGACAATGTCCATCACTGTCTGACTGGAATCACTTAGGATTTTATGAGAAGAAACTCCCTTAACATGTCTGGAGTGTGCATGTGCATTTACCATGCAGTCACACTGTGCCATTTGTTTTGTAAATAAAATAGTTTTGCATAATATCTTACCAGTACACTTATTCAGTTGAATGTGTCCTTGATTTTATTTGTACACTCAGATGTTACTAAATAACAAAACTACATGTACTAAAGAGAGCCCAGTTTGTTGTACACAAGTAGAAGTCTAAGAGGATAAAAAATATGCATTCATCCATTGTGTCCTGGAGGAAGACAAGTGTGCCTGTTGGTGTATTTTCATAATATGTTAGCCAGTACTTATTAAAATATTCACATTAATATTGTTAAGGGGGGGTTCTCAAGGCTTACTAACTCAAAAATAAAGTCTACTTACTACAGTACTTGAGTGGGACCTTCTCCCAGCCAGCGAGGGAAGAGGGAATGTCTATCCAGTATTTAAAATTTTAAGGAGAAAAATTAAATGGTAAGGAAATGGGTAAACTATTTACATTTTAGTACTCAGGATAAACAACCCATAATTATATAATGTTTAAAGAAAAGGGAAATGGGACAAATGGATATTGTGAAAATGAGAGGTTAAATTTAAACTGACGTTAAAATTCACTAACTGAATCTAAAATTCATCTTATTTATGTTGGAGGGCTAAGATTTTTTTTCTTTTATCCTTATTGTAGTTGTTTCATAATAAACATAGCTAGGTATACTGCATGCTGGTTACCAACAAGTCTCAAAATGCATTTTTTTATACAGCAATACTAACGTTTTATGTTGGTGTATGTATGAAATTGTGATTAACTACAATGATGTTAAGTTCAGTCCTCTAACATCCCCTTTCCCTTTAAATTTTCAATCCTGGTAAAATTCTCATCAAGACATCATGACCAGTGTAAGAAAATTAGGCAATGTGGTGTGAATTTTCATCCCGTTATCAATGATGCAGATGTTGTATCATCGCAGTAATTTTGACCAGTGGCTGAATGCAACTAAGTATATTTAATTAACAACAAATCTGAGGTACTTGTTCTTTACCTGAGCATTGTGTTTTCATGCCACTTCTGCTACTTCACAAAAGTAAATTTGCGTTTGTCTCCACTACAATTATTTCCCAGCTTTAGTTTTTGCACACAAAACATATTGTGCTTAAAAAGAAATCATTTTATGTAAGATCTCTAACTACCCAAAAGTATATCCAAGTAGCCAACAGCTGAAACTACTGATTGAAGTTAATTGACAGAAAATTAATTGTCAACTATTTTGGTCAATCATTTAACAATGATTTAAAATGTTTTAATAGTTTTGAAGTCTGGACTATTGGTTGGACAAAACAATCATTGTGAAGATTTCACTTTGGGCCCTGGGTACCGGCATTTGTAACAATTTATTTTTACAAACCAGACAATGGAGTAAGTAAGATCTTGAATGCAGGACCTTTACCCGTGATGGAGTATTTTACAGATAGTACTAGTAGTAGGCTTCTTTTACTTTACTTTAACACCACCAGGTTTCTCTTCAGGCGGTGTGAGCCAGACGTTTTAATAAGGACTTTGAGTGTATTGGCCGCTGGGAGGCACGCAAAACCCACGAGAGCAAAACATGTCGGGGCCATAGACTGTCAGGGCACGCGCAGCTGAGTGACAACTGTTGAGCAGCAGTTGAATCCTCCTCCCGGCAGAACGCAGGAGAGGAGCTCGGAAGAGTTCGGGTTTTTGTGCTCTGAAAAGTCAATAAAATGCTTAAACGTGTCTCTGCGGGCAGAGAAAATTTCTGAGGGCTCACTGGGCGACTTGTAAGACATGGCAGCGTCTGAACTTTACTCTAAGGTAGGCTATGGATTGAATTAGTTTAAGTTAGGTTGTCCAGCTCATTCAATGGTTTTCTTAAGCTAACGTTAGTGAACTTTTCGTTAATTATATCTGTCAAAAATAGTGGTTTGCTAGCGACAGTCACGTTTAGGTGTTTACTGAACAACTTTTAGGGTTTTCAAATCTCAATTTATTGTTTTTTTATGTCTGACACCTAAAATACCCCGTGTCCATCTACGTTACGCATGACTGCTGTCTGCTAAATTCAAGTAAAGTAAAGCAACGCTGCCATCTTTTTGCATGTCACTTCTGTTTTGCTGTAGTTTTGTAAAATACTGTGTTACTGTAAGAGCTGTGGCTCTGACCCGGTTTCCCCCCTTGTCCATCAGTATGCCCGTGTATGGCTCCCAGATGCAGCAGAAGTGTGGAAGTCAGCAGAGCTTATCAAAGATTACACTCCTGGCGACCTGACGCTGACTCTGCAGCTGGAGGATGGCACGGTGAGACAAGCAAATGACACACACACAGTGAGAGGCACTGAGGTGGAAATGGGCGTGTGATGTTCTGTCAGAGAGCCATACACACATTTTTCTGCAAGAACACTGGCAATGGAGCCTCATAAATCTCTTGTGTGCTGTGGGATTATTCAAGACAGCTGTGATGTTTGGTAAATGCACATAGATTCTCAGCAACACAAACACTTTGTGCCTCTTTATGCAGCTCTGCACAGCTTTGAATACAAGAAGCCAGTATAATTTCTAGGGTTCAAAATTGATGGACTGATCGATGGAAATGTATAAACTGTGTGGCTGAAATTTTTTGGCTCATCGCTGTTGCTACCTGCAGCTGTGATGTCAAGTTTGGGCATGCACTTCTGGTATGGAAATGAGGCCTAAGAATTATCATGAGTGAACATGAACAAGGCAAGCACAGTGTTTGCTAGTTAGCTCCAACGTGAAGTAGAAGTGATGCTAAGATTTTTTTGCTTAACCATCTATTTTTGCTTTTTTTCCAGTGGTGGTCCTAACTTCAGTAGTTTTCTTAATGCTCATACTTAGGTACTTACAGCTAACTTCTTGTGTCTTTCTAGGTAGTGGAACACAAAATCGACCCCCGAACCAACAACCTGCCACCACTAAGAAACCCTAACATCCTAGTGGGGGAAAATGACCTCACAGCTCTCAGTTACCTCCACGAGCCTGCAGTGCTACACAACCTTAAAGTGCGCTTTATCGACTCCAGGTTGATTTACACTTACTGTGGTAATGAGCTTCATCTCCTCTGACTCACACTATCACTATAGACTTTGGAGCCCAGCTCACTGGACACTCTGACATAATCTACAGTACATTATGCTGAATGTGGCACACTGCTCTTAAAGGAGCACACGCTAAAGTGAATTTTGGATAGATAATGTATACAAAACGATTACATTCAGGGTGCACTGTTCATTAATTTGAATCCATGTCAGATAACATGCACGGCCATTGTTTCAGTAGAGTGAATTTTTCTTCATGTGGTAATTAGGAATTGTCCTGGTTGCCATTAATCCTTATGAGAGCCTGCCCTTCTATGAACCTGACATCATCAAAGCCTACAGTGGGCAGAACATGGGAGACATGGACCCCCATATATTTGCAGTAGCAGAGGAAGCATACAAACAGATGGCCAGGTTTGAAATTAAATCTTAATTTCCTTTTATGCTGATACTCTAAATACGTTTAAACTGATATTTGGTTTGGATCTCTTCCCATATTGTCGCACAGAGATGAAAGAAACCAGTCCATCATAGTAAGTGGTGAATCGGGAGCTGGCAAAACTGTCTCTGCTAAGTACGCTATGCGTTACTTTGCCACAGTCAGCAGCTCCTCTGGTGAGGCCAATGTTGAGGAGAGAGTCCTTGCCTCCAACCCCATCATGGAGGTAACATTTAATACTACAGGGAAAAAATTATTAGTAAAATTATGAAAAGACAGAGGTTACTGAGAGCCTTCTATGTGTTTCTTTTAGGCCCTTGGGAATGCCAAGACAACAAGGAATGACAATAGCAGTCGCTTTGGGAAGTACATTGAGATTGGGTTTGACAAGAAGCATTGTATAATTGGGGCTAACATGAGAACCTACTTACTGGAAAAGTCTAGAGTTGTGTTTCAGGTAAATTTCACTGGTATGGATTAAACCTGCATGTATTTAGGTGACTACCTACTTAAAATGTAGCTCTGTACATCTTCTCTTTTTCTCATTGCAGGTAAATGATTTAAAACACTCACTCCCGTGCATGTAACATGTAGCATGTGTATATCTCCGCAACATAATAACAAACAACATAAACCGAGCACAGTTAAACCTTGCTCTTGACTCAGAAAGATGGCCACATATTGGGTTTTATTATCTAACTTTCATGATTTCATTTTAAGTCTGGGTTTAGCAATGTGCTGGCAGTTCATGCATGCACCTACAGTTCAGCTTTACTGAATGTATTTGCAGTACTTGTGCAATTTACCTGGTTCCCATTTTACATCTGGTTGCACTACTTTAGGCCCATGGAGAAAGGAACTACCATATATTCTACCAGCTGTGTGCCTCTTCACATTTACCAGAGTTTAAAGCCTTCAAGTTAGGTATGAGAGTCACTAAAAGATCAACTGTCATTTGAGGAGGATTTAGAAACAGTTAAAAACATTAAGTTGCAACAGCAGTTCTAACAGAGAATCTAATTAGTAAAATTTTGTTTATGAATAATGTTTGAAGGTTGCGCAGATGACTTCCACTGTACTAACCAGGGTCAGAGCCCAGTCATAGATGGAGTGAATGATGCCAAAGAAATGCGCAACACCAGGCGGGCTTTCTCCCTGTTAGGTTAGTGTTGGTTACATTTCAGTACGGTTTGCTTTTACATGTTGAATTTACAGTACTGTACATACACATGTTTTGTTTCTGGGTCGCCTGAGATGATTGATAATCATTTATTCTATTTTCATTGTAGGGATTAATGAAAGTGATCAAATGGCAATTTACCAAATTGTGGCAGCTATTCTCCATCTTAGCAATGTGGATGTGAAAGATCAGTCATCAGACAGAAGCAGCATCTTGGTAAACACTGATTACCCTTGGACACAACAAAAGAGTATCTTGTGTTGTATTTTGGATTCATTGTGTGTCTGAATGTTGTATTGAGGATGTGTAGATCTTTACATGTATAAGATCATTGTTATTCATGTGTTTGCAGCCAGATGATGTCAACCTGATGGTGTTTTGTGAGTTGATGGGGGTACCCTGTGAAGAAATGGCCCACTGGTTATGTCACAGGAAACTCAAGACGACCACAGAAACTTTTGTCAAGTCTTTCTCCAAAATGAATGCAGTCAATGGCCGAGATGCCTTAGCCAAACACATCTATGCCAGACTCTTCAGCTGGATTGTGGGCAGTATTAACTGTGCCTTAAAATCTACAGTGAAACAACACTCGTTCATTGGTGTACTCGACATTTACGGGTATGTTTTCATCTCCGGGTGTGTGGTTTTTCCATTTGTATTCCCTGGATGACCAGACATGTTGTTTTAATTTAAACATGTGCTTTTGTTAAGGTTTGAAACATTTGATGTCAACAGCTTTGAACAGTTTTGCATCAATTATGCCAATGAGAAGCTACAACAACAGTTCAACCTGGTATGCGTCTTTTCCTGCTGAATGTGTTTAGTTTGTAGTCAAAACATACAGTACACATAAATCATGTTCAGCTATCACTCCCTCCAGCATGTCTTCAAACTGGAGCAAGAGGAGTACATGAAAGAGGAGATCCCTTGGACATTGATTGACTTCTACGATAACCAGCCGTGCATTAATCTCATCGAGGCCAAGCTGGGTATCCTGGACCTTCTGGATGAGGAATGCAAGGTAAAATGCCAGTTTTATTTTATTTTTAAACCAAAATTCTGTTGAACTACTTTCCACCAATGGAATCTCCACCACGCCATATTTGGAGGTTATGAGTAAGGCCATGACTAACTTATGTGTCAGCTCTTCCTCTTTCCATAGATGCCCAAAGGCTCTGATGACACATGGGCCCAGAAACTGTACAACACCCTCCTGAAGCAAAATGCTCACTTTGATAAACCCAGGTTATCAAATACAGCTTTCATCATCCACCACTTTGCTGACAAGGTAAAACACAGTTGTATGTCATATGCTGAGGAGAGATTGTGTCTCAGTGGTCAGCAGATGGATGGATGAATGACTCATGTTTTCCTATCAAGAATACCAAGAGGCTCAAGTGTGAAATTGTAATAACTTTGTCTGCTAAATGTACCTTAACCTCAAGTGTTTGGTGATTCTATTAGAGCAGCACTTATCGCTATAAACAGATATCTGTATATGAATGCAGAATCTGTAGACAAGGGACAAGATTTTGGTATCAGAAGTGTTCTGGTTAGTTGTCTGTAGTCTAAGTCATGTAGTCCGGTGGTATTAACCAATCAAGTTTGACCTGGCTTTGGTTGCACAGTTTGTGTGGAGAGTAAAAAAAGGCGGAACGCATTGGCCTTAATGCAATCTCAGAATCCATCAGCTACCATCGGACATAAATTTAGCTCTTTATCAATCTCAGCCCTTCAGATTAGCTTTATATTAGCTTTTAAAAAATTGGTCTGCATTTAATTCATCACCAGACAATAGCCAATGGGTTCTGATATTCCTAATCAGATTGTAAACAATTACTGGCATACGGAAGAGGAAGTCTTTGCCCGGATATCTGGTATCCGGATATCCGCTGGCTACATTGGAAGCCCTAAAACATTGGCCATTGCCCCCATAGGCTAAATCATCATCAGATGATAGCCGATGGGTTTCCGAGTTTGGAGCAGTACTACTCAGTCTACTTCAGACTCTGAATGATGAATATGAACTTTACTCTTTGAGTTAAAGAACACTGTGTGACCTGATCCTTTGTGCCTAGGTGGAGTACCAGTGTCAAGGTTTCCTGGAGAAAAACAAGGACACTGTCAATGAGGAGCAGATAAATGTGCTGAAAAGGAGCAAGGTGAACAGTTTATAAATAGTTTATTATATTTTCACATCCATGTCTCTCTCAGTTAGGCAGTCTTTGTGGCTGTCAAAGATATTAAATGTCAACACCTCCTCCCTGTGGGCACACACCCTAGAATTGTTCAACCACAACTATTGGAGGAAATGCACTCACTTTTTCAATTTCAGATTGAAAACACTGCCATCTGCTGTTTAATAATAACTTTGTATTTTTTTCTGTGATCTTTTCAGGTTGATTTGCTGCTGAAGCTGTTTGAGGATGACGACAAGGCAACAAGTTCTACTAGCAAAAATACCAGTGTCGTTGGAAGGGCTGGTCAGGCTCAGAGGGATAATAAGAAGACTGTTGGACTGCAGGTACGAGCATAAAGAGCAGGCAACATTTGGTTTGTCGTACAGTTAACATTTCTCATCGTCATGAAAAACCTTGGGGTAGAATGCATCATCTAAAAACAATTATGTGGTTTTGGAAAATTATATTTTAATGTTTTCCTCGGCTGGTCAGGTTTAGTTGCTTTTAAGGAAATAAATAACTTAATAATTTTTAAGTGATTATCAATCAAAATATGATGTTTTTTACAATTGATTTAATTCCATACCTTTTACTCAGTTTCGACAGTCTCTGCATTTGCTGATGGACACACTAAATGCTACAACTCCTCACTACGTACGCTGCATCAAGCCAAATGACCAAAAAGCTTCATTCACGTGAGGATGATGATTTCACTGTACTGTTTCACACAATTATCTGCAACAAGCACACATGAACGAATAGTACACTCGTCTTTGTAACTGGCGTATGTATGTTATCTTTCATAAAGCTTGGACCCTGTGAGGGCAGTGCAGCAGCTTCGAGCCTGTGGCATCCTCGAGACAATCCGGATCTCAGCAGCGGGCTTCCCATCTAGGTAGCATATCAGCAACAGCATCTGAACCAGAGTACACGACCACGGGCTGTTGGACCCATAAATATATGTTTATAATACATATCCAACTTGACTTATTTATATGAATATTGTAGATGGACCTATCAGGAATTCTTCAATCGTTATCGGGTCCTGATGAAGCAAAAGGACGTGCTTCCTGATAGAAAACAAACCTGCAAAAACCTCCTGGAAAAACTTATAAGGGTATGGGTATTGTGTAAAAGCGTTCCCATAATGTAAATAACAAAATTAAAGTTATTTTCACTGACCCTCTAAAATATTACACATTATTATATTTGCCTGTTATGTTCCTAGGACCACGATAAGTATCAGTTTGGCAAAACCAAGATCTTCTTCAGGGCGGGTCAGGTGGCTTACCTGGAGAAGCTGCGTTCTGACAAGCTGCGTATGGCTTGTGTCCGCATCCAGAAGACTATCCGCTGCTGGCTGGCTCGCAAAAAGTACTTGAGGATGAGGGAATCTGCTGTCACCATACAGAGACATGTACGGGGTCACCAGGCACGCTGGTGAGTGGAGACGTTAAACAACAGCAGAATAAGAAGGAAGGGTTATCAACGCCTAGCTGCTCTAGCATATTTCCTATATGTTTTGTTTTTTCTCCTGTCAGTTATGTGAAGTTCCTGCGAAGAACCAGAGCAGCTGTTGTCATTCAGCGGAATGTACGTATGTGGGTGACCAGGAGACGCTACCAGCAACAGCGCTCTGCAGCTATCACTATTCAGTGCTTCTTGAGGGTCTACATGGCTAAAAAGCAGTACTACAAGGTAATCTTGCTAAAGACGTTGAGACAGTAAATGCATATTATTCCTACGAAGGTCTTCTTTTACTGTAAGTCAAAATGAGATTATTTTCCAAAAAGTAACATCAGCCTTGATTTTAGCTTGCCTGCTGAGTATTTGCGGGTGTTTGTTTTTAGTTTGAAAGGGTTTTAAAGGGAATTATTTTCCAAGTAGATAGTTGAATACTATAATAAAAAAAACAGGTGCCAGGAATTGGTGCCCCTTATAATATGGAAAATTTCCCAGCTCAAAGGAAGCACAGATGTGCCAAGTTCCGGTGGTAACATTGTTGAGGCAGTGAGGCCTTAGCTGCACACAGAATACACCAGATTGTTTTGCACTTCCTAAAACTTTATTGCTGTTTAGGGTTCTTAATCTTAAAGTAATATTAATAGAGACTGACAATATTTGTAATTTGCTGACCTCATTTACACTCTTAAATAAAAAGTATAGAACAAACATTTTAATTGGAATTACATTGCTAGGCAACAGCTTGGGTCCATGTTTACTTTCAGCTGATGTCATTGACACACTCTGCAACAGGAAATCAGCTGCAACATTTTGAATGTTTGCATTTAAAACTGTGAATTGGTCAGGCAACAGTTATGTTATGTAGCACTGAAACATGTGGTGTTAATGCAATTTATTTTATAAAAAATGTGTATAAAGTATAATAATAGAAAAGAATACAATCATCAAGTTGAAGAAAAAATCCAAAATGTTGTACACAAAGCACCTGGATTTTCACCATACCTCTTCTTAACACTAAACGCAGGTCTTTTCATTACCATTTCACTTATTAACTTGACATCATATATTTCTTTTTATTTTCACAGTTGATGTTTGAGCAAAAGGCTGTGGTCATCCAGAAATGGGTGAAAGGCTGGCTGGCTAGACAGTATTATAAACGCACCGTGGCAGCTATCATCCTGCTGCAGAGCTGTGTACGCCGCATAAGGGCCAAGAAGGAATTAAAGAAGCTGAAAGTGGAGGCGCGCTCTGTGGAGCACTTCAAGAAGCTCAACATTGGCATGGAGAACAAGATTTTGCAGTTGCAGCACAAGATAAATGAGCAGGTAAGCATGGATATCTAGTTTTGTTTGTGTTAGGCAGTTGTTTATTCTGAAATCTACCATAAGAAAAAGAAACAGTTTGTGGAGAAATATTGGGTCATTGGGAGCTGTTGTATCACATGCACAGCATGTGTGTGTGTTCTCCCCCCGCAGCATAAAGAAAACAGAGAGCTCAGTGAGAGGCTGAATGTGGTGGAGAAGACCTGGACTGTAGAGAGAGAAAAAAAGAGCAGAGAGATTGAAGACCTACGTAGATCAGAGCAAGAGGCAAGAGCCAAGGCAGAGACTCTTCCCTCATTGCTGGAGCAACTCTCCTTCCTTCAGCATGAGCTGGAAAACACCAGCAGAGAGAAACAAGACCTGGAAGAGCAGACAAAGATCTACAAGGAGCAGACGGAACAAGTAAGCCTACAACACTTCATCTAAATGTATCCAACTCGAGTGCCTGGCAACTTAACTAGAATGTTCTACATGGCGCTCTTTCTTTAATGATCCTGAATGGTAATAGGTAGGATTAATGACATAGCATTGGTGGTGATACTTTCGTTTGCGTTTGCTTCTACTGCCGGCTGTGTGATCTCATTACTTTCTGCTGCTTTAAGTTGCATGCTCATTTGTTTATAGACTTTTAAGTTTGCTTGTCTATATCTATATTGTCTATATCTATATGTCTATATAATATTCAAGAAAGAACAAAATAGTCTTATATTTGGACTTAAAGTGTCATAAACCAACTATGGTGGCCAATGGAGTATAATGATAGAATTTACTGGTAAATATTTGAGTTACAGAAGGACATAATGAAATGCTAAATGGCAATTCATGAAATTAGAACATTATTTGCTCACTTTTGTTAGTTTATAGAACCTTAAGCCTTAATGAAAATTACTAAAGACGAAGAACGCATGATTTTGTCCTCTCTCACAATCAGGTGGTGGAAGAGCTTAATATGAAGAACAGCTTGTTGAGCAGCGAGAAAGATGAACTGAACAAACTAATCCTGGATCAAGCCCAACTGTTAACAGGTACTGAGCAGTTCACCTCAAACAACCACAGTCCTTAAGTAATGGCTGCATTTAGGATTAATAAATAAACCAAAATGATTTTTTCCCCAGATATTAAAACTAACGTCATGAATACAGAACAGATGGAGAAAGACTTGGCTGAAGAGCGCACTCGCTACCAAAGTCTGCTGAGTGAACACCTGCATCTGGAGGAGCGGCATAGAGACCTGATGGAAGAGATGAATCTAAGCATTGTGAGGAACACTTTGTTTGGCATCACAGTGTTGAAATTGTAACAGTAGTTATCATTGTATCATGTTGAGAAGTTGTGCTAAACGTTTGACAGGGTGATAATGGCTTAGAGAGTACACAGAAACCAGTTACCTGACCAACCGAATATAACTACAAATTATATGTATGTATGAGTGCATATATGTGACATTAGAAAATGTTTTCTCGTGTTTGGAACAAGTTTAGGTCTGGCTGCTTAGTCCTTCAGTAATGTGTGTGTTTTTTGTTTTTTTTTGTTTTTGTTTTTTTTCTTCTCTACCTGTAACCAGAGCTCAAGCAAATCTGGTCACAAGAAGACAGACTCCAACTATAGCAGTAATTCATCTGAGTTTAGTCAGAGCTTAGGCTCTACTGAGGGAGAAGACAGCTCGGTACAAACAGAGGTAATGCAGAAAACTACACAATGTCACAGTGCATATCTGAATTGCCTGAAAGTGTTATTCTGCCAAAAATGTATGCATCCTGTGTACACTTAAAGTGGTGGCTATAAAACATTAGGATTTTCTTTTTGACAAAGAGTAGCTGCTGTGTGGTATAAACACAATTCGTTACAAGGAACTCTAGGTTTCATGGTGGAAAAACGTTTGCCATGGTGGGACAAAATGGTGTCATCTGCTAACTACTAACTTAAGCAGCTTTACTGATGTGTCAGTTACAGTGTTGACATTCTCACGATAAAATGATTGCTGTGAATAGTCAGATTACAAGGTGTATGATTGGTTACGAGATTTTCCTAATTACCTGGAATTATATAATTTCTTTCATAGTAAGGTTGCTATTGAGAAAGATATATATGGCAGCCTACAGCAAACATTTTATTAGTGCCATAGGAAAAGGAGGGAAATAGAGGCGCTTCCTTATGTGTGTTGATATTGGAGGTAATGAATTTACAGAGCACCTACAAGGAACTAGATTCTTGCTCCTTGGAACAGTTGTGGGGAAAAATGTCTGGCCTTGTCTGTGTTTTAATCCTATTAGTGCAGCATTCTAGATAGTTTGTGAAGGGATTCAACAACCAGTGCCTGCTCTGTTTTGTTAGGACAAGACCCAGTTGACAGTGGACCTGCCAGTCCTTCTGAAGCTCCAAAGAAAAGTTAAGGAACTGGAGCAGGAAAAACAGTCACTATGGCAGCAGCTGGATAAGAGAGAAGAAGCCCAACAGGAAAAGGCAAAAGTATGGACTTAAACATCAGTCATGTTTCTTAATAGAGACAGAGGAGTTATATCAATAAGTGATTAGTTATTTTTTGGTTGATATTTATGTCGTGTGTATATTCTTTTAAAAAGCAGGTGGAGGAGCAGAGAACTGTTGGCAGAGCAGAACTGGACCTGGAAACACTAAAGGTATGACTTGGTCAGGTCCAGAAAAGAGATGTCCACAAAGAGTCATCATATTAATATACCTTTAAACAGTTTTCTATTCTAACTCACATTTGCATTGAAATACTCAACAATCAATAGAAACAAACCAATGCAATCCATTTGTAGCTGTTTAATTTGTTTATGTTTCTCTAAACGCCTTAATGCAGCGGCAAGAACTGGAGTCAGAGAACAAGAAGTTGAAGCAGGATCTAAATGAGCTGCGGAAGTCTCTGACCAATGAGAGTAGTAAACTTGCGCCCCCTGCCCCCGGCTCTAAACCCTACAACATACTGCTGGAGCAACTCAGTTCTTCAAATGAGGAGCTGGAGATGCGAAAGGAGGAAGTGCTGCTCCTCCGGTCACACATGGTCCGCCAAGAGGCTCTTAAACATAAGGTGAGAAACAACATTACATTGTTACATGAATTCCATTTAAGTGTTTTATTCACTGTTTTGCATGTAATGCAACAGACATCTGACAATGCCTAGATATAATTTATCCTGTATGAACTGACCTCTAGGACTCTGCACTCGGGGGAGGTGTGAAATTAGATCTTAGTGACAGTCCCTCATTTCAAAATGTTGGCAGGTGAGTCCACGTGTTTCCCACTCCAGTTTAAGTCCATCATGTGCTATAGTTAAGTGTTATTTAAATTGTGTGATGCTGTTCCTCAGGTCCGCTGACATCCATACACTGAATGAAGATGGAGAGCTGTGGCTGGCTTATGAAGGCTTGAAAGAGACCAATAGGTAATGAAATAAAATTGTGTAGTAGGATGGTACATATGAGCATGTTCATGCCATATGGAACTGAATGCTATCCCTCCATCCTCCAGACTTCTGGAGTGCCAGATGCAGGAGCACGAACGTGTTAACAATGAGAAGTGTAAGAAGCTGCTGGAGGAGGTGAACAAGTTGAAGAAAGAAAAGGAGCAACAGCAGAAGCTGCTGGCCCAGAGCCTCAGCTTGCCCGAAGGTGCCCGCATTGGGGCGAGCCTGAACCACGAGATCACACGTCTTACAAATGAGAACCTGGTGGGTCCAGACTGTCAGATATGTCACTCTACTTTTTACCGATGACTTGTTATTATATTAATGCAGAGCTACTTCAAAATAAACAGTTAGATGTCTTTGTCTAATGTTGAATCTGTACCTTTGAAAAGTTGAAATGATTTAAGATTTTTTAAGAGTTTCCACAAGGGAAAAATTATTCTTACCATGTTGCTATTTACAGATCTTTCAAATTCACTGTAAAAGTGAACACTTCTGTGCTGTGTATAAAAGTTTGGTATTCACACTAATCAAGTATGTTTAATTTTAGGAACTCCTGGAGCAGCAAGAGAAACAAGACAAAACCATACGCAAGTTGAAAAAACAACTTAAACTTTACGTAAAGAAAGTTGAAGACTTTGAAGGTAATCGCATGGCATTGACTGTGTTCATATGGTTTATTTTCTGGAGGACATAAACACAGCATTCATCCTGTGATTCCTCATATTGTGTCTCTTTCATGTTAAGCGAGTGCTCAACAGAAGAATAACGCCCCTGTGATGAACGCTCCTGTCAGAGCGGTGAACATCACCCGCAAGGAGAAAGAGTACCAGGGCATGTTGGAATACAGGCAGGGTGACGAGAGCCGCTTGCTTAAGAATGTGGTCACAGGCATGTTAAACCTGTTTTGTTCAAGCACATAATTCTCTCATAGATGGAAGAGATGCAGTATTTGTGGATTTTGCCTTGAAATGTTGTAATCTTCTCAGATCTGAAGCCTCGTGGTGTAGCAGTGAGCTTCATTCCCGGGCTTCCGGCTTACATCATCTTCATGTGCTTGCGATATGCTGACATTGTGAATGATGATCAGAGAGTCAGCACTCTGCTCAATTCCACCATCAGCAGCATCAAAGGGGTCATTAAGGTGTAGTATATTGCTTTGATCTGTGTAAAGAAAGTGATTGGTGTTTTATGTTGAATTAATTTTGACACTTTCTATAGAGGAGAGGGGATGATTTTGAGGTAGTGTCCTTCTGGCTGGCCAACACGTGCAGATTAATGCACTGTCTGAAGCAGTACAGTGGAGATGAGGTAAGCTCAGAAAGGCTTTGATGACAGAGTTAAGTTTACAGTTGTACATATTCCATATTCAACCTGGATGTCTGTACAACATCTTTATGCTGTAGGTTGTCATGACGCAGAACACTGCCAAGCAGAATGAGCACTGCTTGACCAACTTTGAACTGTCAGAGTATCAGCAGGTTTTTGGTGACCTGGCCATCCAGATTTACCGTCAGCTCATCAAATGCGTGGAGGACATCCTGCAGCCCCTGATTGGTGAGGGGACGTAATCGCACCATATGCAATAGCTAACATTAGAAGCCTGACCATAATAGGACGGCATGAAATTTATTTTCCCTCAACTTGTGTCTTAGTGGCAAGTATGCTGGAGCATGAGGCCATCCAGGGTGTTTTAGGGTCCAAACCGACAGGCCTGAGGAAGAGAAGCACCAGTTTCCCACAGGGGGCTGTTACAGTGGAAGCCCTCCTGCAGCGTCTTGGTCTCTTCCACACCACCATGTGTCAGCATGGGATGGACTCAGACCTCATTAAACAGGTGGTCAAGCAGCAGTTTTACATCATCTGTGCGGTCACACTCAACCACCTGCTGCTGCGCAAGGACATGTGCTCCTGGAGTAAAGGCCTGCAGATCAGGTACAGCAGTCATTTGCCAGTAGTTATTACACTTTATGCAATGAAACATGAGAGGGACAGAAGCATATGGATCGAGGTAAATCGAATCTTGCCTACATCGAGCAAGCTTTATCGGGTATTATCTCAGACAGCTGCTGGTGTGATTGTTATAAAACCTGCAGACGATTATGCATCTTCATAGATGGGTTTCTGGGCAACGCCATCACTGAGATGCGAGCACAACTAGGGGGCAGAAAGCAGCTTAGTCTTCGTGGCTTATCAGTTTATACGGCATATCTAGCAGCAGTGTTGGGCAAATTACTCACAAATTAGTATTGTGGCGTTGAAGATCTTATTCTGATGGAGATAATATTTTAAACTAAAGAAACCTCAGATAATGTGTTAAATGATTAGGCTTAATAAAAACACCAGGCACAGGGTTTATGTTTAGTGTTTTATTTGGTAAATAGTTTTATTGAACAACAGCAAAGTTACATTAAGCACAGAAAAAAAAATTAACGTTTTTATTTAAGCCTGTCAACAAATAGGTCTCTTTGTCCCATCTCATGCTCTCCCTCCAATCCTCCAGATACACTACTGTCTGTTACTATAGACAGGGTACAAAAATAATTTAAAAAATCTGCTGTAAATAAATAAATCCCTTTTATGTACTGGAAGTGCAATAAACCTGTAGGCAGAGCTTCTCAGTGCACGTTATTTTCTCACGATTCATAAAAGGCATCGGGTCAGAGGAATGCCTTAAGAGAGGCTGGTTCCAGTTTGATGTGTTAATTCAGAATTTGATGTTTTTTAATTTGTTTTCTCATATCATTTCATTTATAGAATATTTGATTTCAAGACAATATTAAGGACTAGAAGCAGGTTTGAAATTTGGTTATGATGCACAAACATTTACAGCACGCAGGGTTTCGCAGACACATAAATACACACACTGTGATAGAACAACTGGATCATGGACAGTGAATGACATCTTGTCCATTTATATTTGATTAACTGCTACAATAGCAGTAAATTGTTTTCTTTGTCAACATCCACCATACTCTGGTTTCACAGAACAGCTGTCAGGTTGTGAGACAGTACCTTGGTTCAGTCTGAATTGTTTGTCCGTCGCCTCTGGTTTCAGGTACAATGTCTGGCAGTTGGAGGAGTGGCTGGCGGAGAAGGATCTGGCATGCTGCGGTGCAAAGGAGACTCTGGAGCCTCTCGTACAGGCTGCACAGCTTCTACAGACCAAGAAGAAGACTGAGGCAGACGCCCAAGCTATTTGCACCATGTGCACCGCCCTCACCACAGCACAGGTCCATCATCAGTAAATGTTCAGCCTTCTTAATCTGTAGACATGGTGTGTTGCTAGTGCATCTGTCATTGTTTGTTTGTGTCAGCAGATTTTGAAAGTGTTGACCTTGTACACCCCAGTCATCGAATTTGAAGAGCGAGTGCCGACAACATTCATCACAACTATTAAAGTGAGTAGCTATGTGGACAGTGCAGTGCTCTTTTATACTCGGTGTTTAGTAATACTATATCAAACTTTTTTTGAAACTATATCTGCTTTTTTAGAACCTTTTGAAAGACAGAGTTGAGTCGTCTACATTGATGATGGACACCAAGAAGATCTTTTCCATCACCCTCCCCTTCACATCCTCCTCAGTGGCTCTGGAAACCATCCAGATCCCTGCTAGCCTCAATCTGGGCTTCCTCACCCGCATCTAGACCAGTGACCTCTGACACTTACTCTTTGTTTTCTTAGTTCTGTTTACCAGAGTAAAAACACCTAAGACTGTTTTTATGCCAACGTTTGTACCAGTTGTAATGTTTTTGTTTACATGCATCTGTTTACAGTATTAGCTTCTCAGCACTACATAGCCAAAGAGGTAATAACTATATGATCAGTGAATCTGCAAAAAAGTATTTTAAAGGTCACGTTGCCACGTAATGAAATGCTCATACGGGTGTTGATAGTATTTTGTGTCTTTAATGCATTCAGGGGTATGAAATTTTACTTTTCACATCAAAACATCTGCAAATGATGACAATTTTCTAAATACTGGGATAGATAATAGCTTTATTTCTGTAACTTTATATTTCTGTAACTTCTAATGTCAGGCGATGGTATTACTGTCAGGACAAGTTGAACGAGCAGAAAATAATTCAAGTATGTATGTAACCAGTCTTAATGTTGTCGGCCATATTAAAGGCTGGCTTTAAAGTCAGATGGTTTAAATAAGTACTCAAAAACACTGCACAGAGTTTCACTACCTCAGGAGGGGTTGGAGGAGATGGATCATCTAGCTTTTCTTTGCCCCCAAGGAGTCCCCAAGAAAATGTACAAGATATTAATTATGTTTAGTATTATCTTTCTTGACACTTAACACAAGGTAAATTATACTGTACTCTAATTCTTATCTATTTGGGGGAAGAACTTTGGGAGAGACTTGACATGGAGTTTGGGGATCCTTGATTTTATTTGTATTCACCAAGCCATTCAGTTCGAACATGTTGTCTTTAATCCCTCCATGTTCCTGGCTGCTCTGTATTTTCAAATTCTGACCAAATGAAAATGCCTTAAAATTCATAAATGATTAAGCTCTTGGCTTCAAGCTTCTCAGCTGTGCGCACCAGGAATGTGTCAGTGTTTCCTTGTTGCATTCTTCCTGTAACTCTGGCATTCCCACTGTTGTCTCAGTTTTGCAAGTGCAGTGGTATTGTGGGTCAAGTTGGTTTAAGGTGGCGAAATATTTACTTTTTAACATATTCGCCTGACTACTTGTGGTAAAGCAGGGGCTGAAATGCGTTCACATATGGTGAGATGACAGAGGTCTGCATCCGGTTTCTTTTGTTGTCACAATCCTTGATCAAACGAGCACACCCACTCTGTCAAGCCGCTGTCACAAGACGGGAGGGCGGAGTCACAGTCAAAGTCCGCAGCAGGTGAGCGACAAGTCAACCAGGAAGACACGAGACATACATGAAACACTAGTGGTGGACTTTCAGAATAAATTTCCCTCTTCGATTGTTTACTTTGAAGAACTTCTAGGGGCCTGAAGAGATAAGCATATCAGTTTGAGTGTTATGGATAAGTGTTACAGGAATTTATACAGGCTGTGTTTTGATTTCTTTGTCTTCCATTTTATCTTGTGCCACCTCAGACCCCTCAGATTTATCTTGGGACCCTATATCAGTATTTATAGAGTAGTATTTTGAAAAAAGAAATACGACCGGAAATCTGCCACGTTTCTGTCTAGCTTGATTGGTGGAAATGGCACAGTGTTGAGGGCAGGGAGGAAAATCGTTGGTAACCTGGAAAATACAGTGTACCAACAGGTGACAAACCAGCTGACAACAGGAGTAGTTAAAACAGCAATGCATAAACATGGCTTTGTTGGAACTTTACACCGAGGTAAGATAAACGCTCCCAGCTTTTTTTTTATAATAGAAACAATAATACCTTGATGTTGTTTTACAGTGACATATGGAAACTGTCAGGGCTCTGGCAAGTTGCAGGGATGTAGAGGAGGCTGGAACTAAAGGAATTTAAAGTCTTGATGATCGACTGTTTACTCTTATCAACTTTTACCTATCAATTGGTGTAATTTGTTTATATGTTATGTGTGTATATATAGGGTTTTTATATGATCTATAATGACTTGATTGCTATAAAAAAATAAATGACAGTCCTCATAGTTCAAACATTTAATTACAGTGTTATATGTTTTAATAACTCTATTAAGCATTGATTAACTGTTAACTTGTCACCATTAAAATCTTCTCCCTTAGTACAACAGAGTGTGGATTCCAGATGCAGAACATGTGTGGAAATCAGCCGAGATTATAAAAGACTTTCATATTGGGAATAATGTTCTTGATTTGCTTCTTGAAGATGGCACTGTAAGTAAAATGTGACTAATAAAACCTTTGCATGCAGCATATTTATGATGGTGAGAAGCAACAGCTGACCTGTGACTCTTATATCATTGTGAAGGAGTACTTTTACCCTGTTGACACTTCAAAACCAGAACTCCCTCCTCTTCGCAACCCTGACATCTTGGTGGGGGAGAATGACCTCACCGCTCTCAGCTACCTGCATGAACCTGCAGTCCTGCATAACCTTAAAGTGCGATTTGTGGAGTCGAGAATCATCTATACTTACTGTGGTACAGTTGAAATCTTTAAATTTCAAACTACATTTAAGCGCAGAGGTGTAGGTTGTCAGCAGTTTGTTCTCCTGCCTCAGCCTGTTCTGTTACCTTATTTTCAGGTATTATACTGGTGGCTGTGAATCCATACAAACAGCTTCCTATCTATGGAGATGCAATCATTCATGCCTACTCAGGCCAAAACATGGGAGACATGGACCCTCATATATTTGCAGTGGCAGAGGAGGCTTACAAACAGATGGCCAGGTAAATAAAAGCTGAAATAATCACAGTTAGTAGAATAATACTGTCTAGTCATAATGACAGTGTGCATACCCTTTATTCTCAGAAACCACAAGAACCAGTCGATCATTGTCAGTGGTGAGTCTGGAGCAGGTAAAACTGTGTCTGCTCGATTTGCTATGAGGTACTTTGCTGTTGTAAGCAAATCTGGAAGTAAGACTCGAGTTGAAGATAAAGTCCTGGCGTCCAATCCGATAACAGAGGTATGATTTTACTGGAGCAGTGAGTACCGCTCACAAGGCAACACATCGCTGTTCTTTCCACTAAACTGGTAAAATGGTTGATGTTTCAGTACTTTGACATTAAACTAACTAAAATGCACTCATTATGACAACTTAGACCTTTGTGATAACTTGAAAAGAGACTTGATGACCTGAGGGGATTTTCTCTCAGGCAATAGGAAATGCAAAGACCACCAGGAATGACAACAGCAGCCGTTTTGGGAAATACACAGAGATCAGCTTTGACAGGAGGTACAAGATCATTGGAGCAAACATGAGGACCTATCTCTTAGAGAAATCCAGAGTCATTTTCCAGGTAGGATATGAGACAAATATATCTTAGATATCTGAGCTCTTATATATCTGATCCTTAATAATGATCCTCTTGTTTAATTCAGGCAGACAATGAGCGAAACTATCACATATTCTACCAGATGTGTTCCTGTGCTCACCTGCCAGAGTTCAAGAATCTAAGACTGTGTGAGTCTTTGTTCTGAGGGTTAAACACATATATATTGTGGGATTATTTAGTTGTTAGTGTGCTTAATTATATATTCTTTTCATCTGTAGTGAGTGCAGATAAGTTCCGGTACACCTGCATGGGCGGTGAGATCACCATTGAAGGTGTAGATGACAAGAAAGACATGGAAGAGACCCGGCGGACCTTCTCATGCTGGGTAACAACTGCCTCCGCTGTCAGACTGTAATTCGCTTTTAGTGTTTAAACTTTTAAGTTAGCATAACCCTCCTCTCTCTTGCTTCTTCAGGTTTGAAGGAGGACTTTCAATCAGATGTGTTCAAGGTTTTGGCAGCCATTCTGCATTTGGGAAATGTGGAAATCAGAAACAACGGCGAGGACAAATCATCAGTCCCTGTCAGTCTCAACCCTCTGAGTTAAATATCTTTTTGTGTGCGAGGTTAGATATTAAAACATTAACCTGGTTCAATACAGGTATACTTTATTTGCTTATGTTCCAGCCCAGTGATCCACACCTGGTAGTCTTCTGTGAGTTACTGGGTGTGAGTGCAGAGGGGTTGGTGCGTTGGCTGTGCCATCGGAGGATCATTCTGGTGGCTGAGACGGTGGTGAAGCCGATGCCCAAGGAGCGGGCAGTAAATGCCAGAGATGCCCTAGCCAAGCAGATCTATGCCCATCTGTTTGACTGTATCATTAACAGGATAAACACAGCACTGCAGGTTCCAGGGAAGCAACATGCTTTCATAGGTGTTCTGGACATTTATGGGTAATGCAGATACAACACTTTTTTTCTTCAGCTGCTTGATAATTCTCTTTAGCTGTCATTTTTTTATGTGATCTTGATGTCCTTTGTCCACAGCTTTGAAACATTTGACGTCAACAGCTTTGAGCAGTTTTGTATCAACTATGCAAATGAAAAGCTGCAACAGCAGTTTAACTTGGTACGCATCAACGCTGTCCAAAACCATTGCAAAACATAGCACACGCCCCTTCATCAGCTCGGAGGGTTATTCTCTTGTCGTTCTTATTTTCAATCAGCATGTGTTCAAGCTGGAGCAAGAGGAGTACATGAAAGAGGACATCCCATGGACGTTGATTGATTTCTATGACAATCAGCCGGTCATTGACCTGATTGAAGCGAAGATGGGGATCCTTGACTTGCTTGATGAAGAATGTTTGGTAAGTCATTGGATGTGATGTGAACTTTTGCAATTTAGATTTTCAATTAAGTTTTTCCCCCCTTGATTGTCTTTTTTTTTACTTCACAGTTTCCCCAGGGCACCGATCAAAGCTGGCTGCAAAAGCTATTCAACTACCTAGATACCAATCCTTTGTTTGAGAAGCCTAGGCTATCAAATGAGGCATTTGTGATTCAACACTTTGCAGACAAGGTGTAGTCTGGTGATCCTTAAAAACACATTTCCTGGTTAACGTAGCCCAAAAATGACTCCTTCTATTGTTATTAATCCTTTTTGGATACCTGACAGAAACCTTATTTACAACTATGTGAGTCTCTTTTCCATTAACAGGTGGAATATCAATGCAGAGGTTTCCTTGAAAAGAACAGAGACACTCTCTATGAAGAGCTGGTTGACATTATGAGAAGCAGTAAGGTAATTAAAGGCCTTATTTTATTTTCACTTTTAACTTTTCACTTTGTCATGTCATATATCATTAAGGTCAATCCAAGCAGCATTGGGGTTTTTTTTTTTCATTTTAAAATGTTTCTTCTGCTTGCAACTGTTATCAGTTTCCTTTTCTGGCCAACTTTTTCCAAGAGGAGGAGCAAAGCACTGTGAATAGTAGAGGTGTCAAAGTGAGGCCTGCCAGGCCTGGAGTGAAACCAGCCAATAAACAGCTGAGAACCTCGGTGGGAGATAAGGTGAAAATTTTTACTGGAGATTGAGCTCCCTCCTTGAAGTTTACATAATATTTAGTATTTACTTATGTGCATACAATGAAACATAGATGTAACATGTATTTATATCCTTTCTCATGAACTTTGTGGTTGAACGTAGTTCTGCAGCTCCCTCTCTTTACTGATGGAAACACTGAATGCCACCACCCCTCACTATGTGCGCTGCATTAAGCCCAATGATG